GATCTTCTCCCCCCAGATTGCTGTCATTATTTAAAAAAAAAAGTGGCTGTTTAGGGCTCCGCCCACCTGGCCACGTCATTCATTCACAGAATTCTGTGAATGTAAAACTACAAGTCCTGACAGCCTTTGTGGCCGTTGGCTTGTTCTCAATTAACTATCATGGTGCTGTTGAGCTCTGTGGTAGTTCATTGTCTCTGTTTGTAACTGCCTGCCTGTACAAGGTATGGGCACATAGATACACTGACAGGTCTGCAGGAGTCCTGCATGGCATCTGTGATCTGCTGATCATGGGTTCAATGCTTTCTAGGCTCCTGCAAAAAATGTGCATCTATTATTTTTTTTTAAAAAAAAGGTGAACTTATCCTTTAATATTATTGGTAGTCGATCAAGAAATCTTAATGATCTCATGCCTGTGGGCCTCCTCAGGCTAAGTTAACAATACTGTGGCTATGATTTGATCTGATTTTCAGTGTGATTATGTAGTGCGAATTGGTTGATTTGATGGGTTTTTGATGCAATTTCCAGGCATTTTTCACGTGTTTTTGGCCAATTATAAGCATATCTGCTGTGACAGGGAAAAAAAAAAAACACTGAACTTGCATTTAAAATGTATAAAATCATGTATTTGCATTTTTGGTGCATTTCCATTGAAGTCTACGGGGCCAAAATTGCACTGGAATCACAACAAGATTGAGCAGGACCCTTTTTAAAAAATGCCCCGTGCTGTGTTGCATTGATGTGGATGTGATTCCTGTCCAAATCGCATGCGGTTTCCACACTGCTCCTGTGTGAACCCAGGCTTGTCATAGTCCAAGTTCACACAGGAGTGGTGCGGGAAACCTCCCTGCAGGCATCCCATGCTTAGTGTCAGTGGCAGGAGATGAGAGAAAATGGCAGGGATTTGAAATCCCTGCCGCTTTCTTTCCTCTCCTTGCAGCAATGACAGTTCAGGCTAGATGGGCAATTATGTTACCTATAGACTTACTATGGGGCATCCATTGTCAGCTGTCCCTTCTCTTCACTGAAGCTGCTGAGATCCAATCATGTGACTGGACCAGAGCACCATCAGAATAGATAAGTATACAGATCTTTCCTTTCAAAGAGTAGAAAGAATTGGCTTAGAATGGGGTTGAGAGCAGATGTGAGTACAGTTAGTGTTTGACTGAATTTCCACTTTAAATGTGGTGGTTGAATTAGTTTTATTTCTTTTGTGTGAAGTACAATTTGTCCAAATACAGAAATTCACCTCCTGATCCTGCCAGAAATGGTGTGTTTTTCTAACGTCTTGTACACAGATCTGAAATCTCAAACAACGTTATCAGGTTTCCCAGTTCTCTTCTGTGAATAATGAATATGGGGATAGGGGGTGGCGTTTTTAGTCCAAACCAGAAAAGCAGTCTAGGATGAACATGCTGCTTCTCCATAAATAAGATCTGGCAGGATCCCCAGGTTTAAAAAAAAAAACAAATTGAAAAAAAAAGAATACAGTCTCGACATTTAACTGTCTAAATAGGGAGCTGCAATATACACTGCTCAAAAAAATTAAAGGAACACTTTCACAGCACATCAGATCTCAATAGGAAAATTATCATGCTGGACATCTATACTGATATGGACTGGGGTAATGTGTTAGGAATGTAAGGATGCCCAATCTTTTGATGGAAATGAAAATTATCAACCTACAGAGGACTGAATTCAAAGACACCCTGAAAATCAAAGTGAAAAAATGATGAAGTGGGCTAATCCATTTTGTTGAAATTTCATTGCCGCAACTCAAAATGCTACTCAGTAGTTTGTATGGTCCCCACGTGCTTGTATGCATGCCTGACAACATCGGGGCATGCTCCTAATGAGACAACGGATGGCGTCCTGGTGTATTTCCTCCCAGATCTGGTATAGCACATCACTGAGCTCCTGGACAGTCTGAGGTGCTACCTGGTGGCGCCGGATGGACAAAACATGATATCTCGGAGGTATTCTATTGGATTTAGGTCAGGTGAGCTTGGGGGCCATTCAATGGTATCAATTCCTTCTGCCTCCATGAACTGCCAGCATACTCTTGCCACTTGAGGCTGGGCACTGTTCAGTAGGAACCCAGGACCCACTGCACCAGTGTAGGGTCTGACAATGGGTCCAAAGATTTCATCCCGATACCTAATGGCAGTCAGGGTGCCATTGTCTAGCCTATAGAGGTCTGTGCGTCCCTCCATGGACATGCCTTCCCAGACCATCAAAACAGTCAGAAAAGATCAGTAGGGAAAAAAATGTCAGTGGCCTCCACCTGTAAATCCATTCCTCTTTTGGGGTCATCTCATTGTTGCCCATCTAGTGCACCTGTTGTTAATTTCATTAACACCAAAGCAGCTGAAACTGATTAACAACCCCCTCTGCTACTTGACTGACCAGATCAATATCCCAGGAGTTTAATTGACTTGATGCTATACCCTTTGATTAAAAAGTGTTCCTTTAATTTTTTTGAGCAGTGTATTACATTTTGATTTCTGAGCATAGATATGTTTTAAAGCCAGTTGTCCTGCATAACAGACAAGCATGCAGAATTTTCAGAACGAGGTCAACAATAAAAGAATATTTCTCTTAGGAAAGCTTAACTTTGATGCTGTTTTTTAGCTTTTGTATTCCCTTGCTTTGAATAATGATTTGGATGATTTTGGGGGATATATAAATCAATAACAATAACCCCAAAGATACACTGCCTACATTGCTATATACTTTTATTTAATAAAATTTCTAACCAAAACTGGCCATGTAGTATTGGTTGAATACTGATGTGTTAAGAATCTGCTAGCTGTTTACATACCTTAGGTGTTTTGTTGGTGTTATCTACGACTTTTGCTTCTGGGCTGCCTTTCTACACCACTGTGGCCATAATTAACTTATTCAGCTTAAGGCCAAATGTTGTAGCTGAGGCTATGTGCCCTGAATTCTTCATAGGGCTGATTAGAAAATTCAATACAGGCTGCTTGGCCACCACAAGCTAAACATTATTATAATATCTGCTTGGGGGAAACTCCAGATGATCTGGCCACTGGAGCAACTTATATACGCAAGCAGGTACTTTAAAATAGCTATATGCCCATGAAATGCTGAATTACCAGATTATGCCAAATTGAGATTTAAGATTTAAAGTTGTTGAAAACCCTCACATATACCCAGTAAAGTGACTAGCATCAGATGATACTCAGAGATGAAACAAATCCTTCTACATAAATTGTACCTTTTTATTATTCTGTAGCTTAAAAAAAAAACACACACAGAGATCAAAGGATTTTTCTTTCAGCTCTAGTAGCAGGGGGGCAAGGATTTGAAGTCTCACAGTGCAGATCTCAGTGAGGACAGCTGTAATCCCTGATTGGAGAGAAGGGACACATCCCCCTTCACAAAGTGCACAGAGAACATGCAAAGCTAAGGATATGAATCACAGGTTGTGTGCTGGAGTTTCTCCTCCCATCACCTTTTTTATCTCTTGGAGAAGGGAAAACCTGCTAAAAGTGACTCTTGATTATGACAGAGGAATGAGGGGGAAGAGAGAAATGACACTCAGTACTTTGGATAGAGACAATTACATAGTATAGAAAGATGCTCATGTTTGAGATTTACAGCCACTTTAACATTTATTGAGGAATTAATACTAAAAAATAAGTAATTCAACCAAGCATTACTAGATTCCTACCCCAGTCCCTGTTGTCTAATCTGATTTTCTGGTTTTCCATAACACATCCATTACAAGCTTCTTGCTGTCTTGTACACAATAAGCCCGGTGTTTCAAAATGACAATTCTGAATGGTTACTTACAAGCAACCTTCTGCCTGGGAAGTTTAATTCTGATTAGTGGTACAGAATGTAGACAGAGATGAGCTTGCATTGAACACACTTCATGTTTATGTTACTAAACATGTACGCAGCTGCATATGAGAGCTCAGAGGAAGGTATATTGAGTGAATTACGTTTCTTAACCAAATGTGGACTTGTTATACACTCCCAGAAAAACAGAAGTGCACATGGTTACATAGTTAGCTTGGCTGAAAAAGACAAAAGTCCATCTAGTAAAAAAAAAGTTATAATCCTAATCTATTATTATCATTCAAAGTTTTAGCAATTGTTCACAACATACGTGCATGAAAACTTATGGAAATTGACACACAGATTTCACTTGCAGAGACATCAGTTCACATCGGTTTTCATGCATAGTTACATACAGGGGCGGACTGACCATTGGGGAACTTGGGCACTGCCCGAGGGCCCAGGGTCAGTAGGGGGCCCCATGAGATGTCCCTGGTACCTTTCATAGGCTTTTTGGGTGTGGTTTGAGTGTGAGGGAGGACACAGGGGCCCCATGATCCTATATTGCCCGGGGGCCCCATGAGTTGTCAGTCCGCCCATGGTTACATAGTTGCATAGTTAGTCTGGCTGAAAAAAGACAAAAGTCCATCCAGTTCAACAAAAAAAAAAAAGTTATAAACCTATACACACAGTAGATCCAGAGGAAGACAAAAAAAAACCTGGCAAAGCATGATCCAATTTGCTCCCGCAGGGGAAAAAAATTCCTTCCTAATCCCCTGAGCGGCAATTGGATATTCCCTGGATCAACTCCACTTATTAATGTTAGCATCCAGTTATATTCTGTGTATCCAGGAAATAATCCAGGCCTTTTTTAAAGCAATCCACTGAGCTGGCCAGAACCAACTCTTGAGGGAATCTATTCCACATTTTCATAGCTCTTACTGTGAAGAAACATTTCTTTATTTGGAGATTAAATCTCTTTTCCTCCAGATATAAAGAGTGCCCCCTTGTCCTCTGTGATGAACTCAGGGTGAATAACTGTATACCGGGTTCAATATATGAACCACTGATGTATTTATACATGTTGATCATATCCCCCCTTAATCTCCTCTTCTCAAGAGAGCATATTCCTTTAATCTTTCCGCATAGCTGAGCAACTCCATGTCTCTTATCAGTTTGGTTGCCCTTCTCTGTACTTTCTCCAGTTCCCCAATGTTATTTTTGTGAATTGGTGCCCAAAATTGAATTGCATATTTCAGATGAGGTATTAGCAGGGGCGGACTGACAACTCATGGGGCCCCCGGGCAATAGGGGATCATGGGGCCCCTGTGTCCTTGCCCAAACTCAAAAATGCCTATAAAAAAGGTACCAGGGGCATCTCATGGGGCCCCCTACTGACCCCGGGCCCTCGGGCAGTGCTTGAGTTTCCAAGTCCCTGGGTCTTACTTATGATTTGTACAAGGGAAAAATGATATCCCTCTCTCTCTCTCTGGAGTCTATAGCTCTTTTAATACAAGAGAGGATTTTGAACCGCAGCTTGGCATTGCATGCCATTATTAAGCTTATGATCTACCAGAACTCCCAGGTGCTTCTTCGCCATTGATGGTAGGGGTAATGATCTCTCTCCCCCCTCCTTTACTACACCCCCCATGCATTTGTCAGTAAGGATAAGTGAATGTGTCTGGACCTGGTTTGCAGAGAGTTCATTGAACTCATCATGAAGTGAACTTCAATGAAGTCTATAGGCAGGCAAATCTTGATTCTGGCTATTTGCTAATAGGCAAGAAAATTTTTAAAAAAAGGTTATAGGGAGCTTGGCAATGCTGTTGAGGAATATCTACAGCAAAATTAAATAAATTAAAAAAAATAAAAATAAAATACCATACAGAAGGAGGAGGCTCCTCCTTTTAATGTGACTTTGAAGGTGACTTGGTAAAAACGCCAAACCTTTCCATTAAATACTTGGGAGAAGTCTTTAAGCTGTATGCAGTATACAGAGGTGGCAGGATCTGGGTATTGTGGCAATCCAGCAGAGGTGGCAGGAGCTTTTAATGGTGGCAGTCTAACTGAGGTATGAAGAGCTGGTAATGGTGGCAGTTCAGCAGAGGTGTTAGGAGCTGGTAATGGTGACAGTGGCATGCCAGGAGAGGTGGCAGGAACTGGTAATGGTAGCAGTCCAGCAGCACTGTCAAGAGCTGGTAAAGTTGGCAATTCAGTAGAGGTGTTAGGAATTTCATAATGGTGGTAGCAGCAAGGAAACAGAGGTGGCAGAAAACTGTAATGGTTAAAGTCCATCAAAGGTGTCATCAGCTGATAATGATGGCAGTTCAGCAGAAGTGATAAGAGTTAGTAATGGTGACAGCAACAAGCTAGGAGAGGTGGTAGCAACTGATAATGGTGGCAGTCTTGCAGCAGTGTCAAGAGCTGGCAATGGTGGCAGTCCAACAGAGGTGTTAGGAGCTAGTATTGGTGACAGTGGAGAGTCAAGAGAAGTGTCTGGAAGGGGTAATAATGGCATTCCAGCAGAGTTAGCTGTAGCTAATGGAAGCAGGCCAGTAGAGGTGGCAGGAGTTGGTAATAGTGGCAGCCCTGCAGAGGTAGCAGGCGCTGATAATAGTGCCAATGGCAGACTTGGAGAGGTGTCAGAAACTGATAAAGGTTGTGGTTGAGCAGAAATGGTAGAAGCTTGTTATTATGGCAAGCCAGCAGAAGTCTCAGGAGCTGATAATGATGACAAGCCAGCAGAGGTGGTATGTGCTGGTAATAGTGGCAAAACAGCATAGTTGGCAGGATCTGGTAATTGTAGCAGGAAATGGTAATGATGGCAGAAGCTGGTAATGCTTGCAGTGAAGCAAGGTGGCAGTCCAGCAGAGATGGCAAAGGTTGGTAATGGTAGCAGACCAGCAGAGGTGGTGAGATTTGTGATTGTGGAAGATGCTGTTGTCTGGATGACAAAGAAAAAAATAGTCAGTAGCGTCAGCTACAGGGGTTTTGTAATCTTTGCTAATTCAGGACTGGTTTATTCTTATGAATGTGAGCTGGCCCTGCCATAGAACAGGTAGATCATTCTCAAAACTATCTGCTGCTCTACAGGTGAATGAAACAAAACCACCTGATGCTCTGAAGGCCTCCTCACTCATCACACTGATCAGTGTGCAAGCCAGAAGCTCCAGTGTGTACTGTGAAAGCTCTTGCCAGTGATCCAGCCTGTACATTTATTTGTCCATGGGGTCTCTAATTCTAAGAGTGTTCATGCCAACAATGAATGCTAAGTAGGGGTGCAGTTTGTATGCTCTGGGACACAATAAACATTTGGATATTTTGATTACTTTTTTCAGCTTTAATTATGGATATGTAACTTCCATTTGGCACACCTCTGCATCTCTGATTGAGGGACTCCTCCTTCTTGGATCAAATGTTCATGGTTCTTACTGGCTTCCTACAAACTTATTGATGCTACCATTGGGTAAATGCAAAATATTGTTTGTTATAAATATTATTATTTTCTTTAGTAGGCTGTATGCTTATTTTTTGACTTTCTTTATATAATTTTAGAATCATATGCTATGTCTCCCTGAGGAAGCGGGCTTTTGTCCCGCAAAACACGTTGGAGAAACAACTGAAGTACCAATTTGGAGCTAATATGCCAACTATGGTTCTTATGTCATTTAAGGCCATACTTTGTAATGTTTATGTGTTAAATCTGTTTGTTATAAGCACTACATGCTTTTTATGATGAGCGTTGTGATTGCGCTAATATCACTACCACAACTGTGGTTTTAATTCTGTTAATAAAGTTGTACTTTTTATATCCTTTGAGTATACATTCGTTTTATGGTATGGTGCCTCTTAAAGCCCCATTAGTTTTTCAGTTAGGGTTTTCATATTTTTCAGTGTCCTGTTAAAAAAAAACCTACCAACAAGGGATGAGACCTTATTATGGGCCTCCCTCTCCCCCTTCTTTACTAATGCAATGAATTTTAAGTAGTCTGCAGTAGTGATGAGCCAAACTGCCCTGTGTTTGGTTTTAGCAGGATTCGGTGAACTTCAATGAAGTTTAGATGCCGAACCCCATTTCAGTCAATGAGAGCTGAATCTGTCAAGCTAAAATTGGCAACTTTCTGGGCTAATAGGTAAGGGGGTGGCAAAAAATAGCATAGAGGGTGGAATAGGGTGAGCCACACTTCTGCCTGACCCTGAAGAGCAACCAGAATTCCTAGCCCAGTGTGTCTCCTGTTCCCCAGGCATACCAGCTGCAAAGCAGCATGGCAGAAGTTTGGGTGGGCCATTGCATAGGCTCTGGATCTAAGGAGTCAGAAGAGGAGGCCAGGCCTGCTGGACCAGGTGTTTGTTTTCACATACCTGACAGGGTTTTTACCCTGATGCTAACAGCATGATCCAGAGGCACAGACACATTACTTTCAACATACTGGTGAAGGGGGGAAGAACTTCTGGATGCCTGCCACTGTGATTCAGCACTGGCCATAAACTCATAGAAGGAGGGCAGATCCACCAGCGAACATGGGAGCAACTTTAAAGCCAGCAGTTTTGCCAAGATGACACTAAAATGCTGAGCTTGGGAGTGATTAGAGGCCTTTTTACTTCCACTCCTGCAGCTGATCAAGAGACACTTGCCTGGTCAAGGATGCTGCTGGAGATAGCGGGTGGGGTTAGGAGACTTATGGTGAAGGTCAAGCCTATGCCTGGCCCTACTCTGCATTGCCTGATTTTGTGAATACTGATCCTAGCAAAATTAAAATTAAATATAGCTCTTCAAAAAAATAAACTTGAAAACACAACACTCCATTCTTATATAAACTAAACATTTATAACAAATTTAAATTTCATTTTTTTAATTTTATAAAAAATTAAAGAACACCAGGCACAGCCTAGCAGCCAAACAGAAACTGAAATAGTTGCTGACTTGATAAAAAGTATGAGTAAAAAAAAAAGTGGTAAGTAAATGTAACTCATAGTTGGGTCTATGCACTGTGAACGCAGGAATGGGGGGGGGGGGGGGTATACAGTAATGTGTAGCCAAACACTTTGCAATTCACAATATTGTTGCACAATGTATCAAAGGATGCCAACAAAGGAGGCACCCTTTGATAAAGTAGTGATGAGGAAACGCATCAGAGAGTGACGTCATATCAGGGGCGGACTGACCATTTGGAAACTCGGGCACTGCCCGAGGGCCCGGGGTGAGTAGGGGCCCCCATAAGATGCCCCTGGTACCTTTTTCATAGGCTTTTTTGAGTTTGGGCAAGGACACATGGGCCCCATGATCCCCTATTGCCTGGGGGCCCCATGAGTTTGCAGTCCGCCCCTGCATCATACGTTATTGGAAGTATTGCGGTGGCCATCTTGGATGCCATAAGGAGATAGTGAGCTATTAGGCTGTTTTTAAAGCTGCATATACTCTGCATTTGATGTAAGCGCTTTTAATAAAGATTCACAACACTATAAGAAGGTTTTGCATGATGGTATTATACTTTCTTTCTGGGCATTTTCAACGCTGATTTGGAGTACTGGTAGCAAGAGCCTGAAGTTGATATCGGGTCTGAGTCAAGCCTGCATTACCTGTCTTTCTGGTAAGGTATATGGGTTGACAGATGCCTTATAGAATGCATGAAGGTAAAAACCTCCTACCTTTAGAAACTGTTTAACATATTAAATGTAATGTTTTAAGTCTTTGTAAATTTTCAACTTCCCATAACAGACTACCTGGTGATCATGTCATGAAGGTCCTTGGTCAGGCATTCCTGAAATAGGGTGAAAACTGTCTGCAAATTAGCGTTACAACTATCTGTCCTGTCATATGCTCCCCTGGTGGAGATTACCAGTTGTCATTTTGATGCACATTGGACATGCATTGTCACTATAAAGAATCTGGTCTGCAGCAATGTTGTGCAGGCAGTGCTGGAGTGTTTGTAGACAAGAATTGGCTAAAAAGGGATGGAAGAGGTTAGTCATGCTAGGAAGCATAAAGGTCATAAAATGGTGAAAAAAGTATTCAGGGAAAAAAAATACTGTTATTAATAAACTGAATGCCTTCCAGTTAGGGTTTACATTACCTAAACATTTACATTACATTAAACTTACTTTAAAGTTGAAACTCCTCTCTTTTACTTATTTCCAAGATAACCTAATGCAACTTTTTAAAATGCATAGCTGGACACTATTGCTTTTTGTGCTATGGAAATTGACATAGCTATTGATAGGTATTGGTCTTTACATGTCTACTATACATTAAACATGCAATAT